GGGGAGGAGGCGCCCGCCCGCCTCTTCGGCCACAGGCTCAGCCATGGGTTTGGAGTCTGCCTCAGCCTCGTCGCCCGCGGGGCATGGCGGTGAGGCACTGGACTTGCTGAACCACTGTGGTGCATGCTGGGAGCGCCTGTGACCGAAGCAGGAGCCGTGTCTGCTGCCCTGCCTGCATTTGGCCTGTAGTGCTTGCCTCAGGCCTGCGGCGCCCGCCGCTGCCAACAGCTTGGGAGACAGCGGCACAGCAGGCGATGGCACTGTGGTGGACTGTCCTGTGTGCAAACAGCAGGGTTTTTTCAAAGACATTGTGGAGAATCATTTTATACAGAGAGTCTGGTGCAGAACTATTTCTTTTAGCCACAGATATCCTTCCTATTCATCTCTCTGAATTGTATTTCTATGTGGTTCATTGTTAGAATGCACCCAACAGTAGGAACCCTGTATGGGATTTGGTCCAGGGCAGTATGAAAATAGTATCTGTGTGAACAACAAATATCAGAATATATAAACAAAAATAAATAAATAAAATAAGTTCGATTAAAGAAAAAACATTTTCCTAGTAGTTCATGTTTTTGCAAAACTAGCTTTCCATATAATACACATAAATTATCAGAATTTCCACTTACATTGTTTTAAAAATATATATTTAACAAAACATTTCTAAATGTGCAATATCTGGGTTTGTAAATCACTCAATTGGGTTTTAAGAACAAGCCCTAATAGTCACACAGATCTGCATCAGAGAGGAGACTGAAGCCAGGTCTACACAATCATTTTGCTCATCAGTCTAGAAATTTCCTAAGATTGAACATCCCCTGGCACCCAATGGACACTTAACCAGAGAGATCCATGACAGCCAAGTCTCCAAATCAGAGGCACTGTGTAGACACAGCCTGAGTCAGAAGGATTGTGGGAAAGCAGTCTTCCCTTTCCTGGAACACGGTGGTGCATTTCAGCAAGTGGGGAGAGGAAGTGGTACCTGACAGAGTTCTGGGAAGAGAGAGCCCTCGAGAGCTTTCTGGCCAGCTAGGGTGGGTTTGTGGGAGAGGCTAGGTCTGCTGCATTTCCCAACTGTTACACAAAATCAAACCAATAGGGAGCAACCAAAGGATATGAAGAAATGGACACAACCCTAGGTATAAAGAAACACCTTGACAAACTCCTTGGCTAGGGCAGACACTGAGCTCCGTTTTTCAAAACAGAAGGCAGAGATGAAAGTCAGGTGTCCTTGAGCACTGGGCCAAGTGAGTCAGGGCTCTTCAGACTTCATAAATTTTATCCTGCAGGTAGCTGAACAGGGAATCCAGGCCCTTGGAGGAACTCCAGAGTTGCTTGAGCATGAGGCATTCTTTCTCGTTGACATCTTCCAGCACTGATTTCAGGAAGCTCCTAACAAGGCATTTGGACTCCTCCAACACCACGGCACTACAGGACGCCATCTCCTTGACTCGCAGCATGACCTCCTGGCTGAATGTGGTGGGCCAGAAGACCTGGGACACCAGCCCTTGGCTGCATGCTTCCTGGACCGTGAGCTTCTGTCCACAGAACAGCATCTCATTGGCCAGAGCCACACCCAGGATCTGGGGGAAGGTGTAGGATGAGCAGCCAGCAGGTGTGAGGTGGATGGTGGCGTAGGGCGTCTAAAACCAGGCCCTCTCATTGGCCCACACGATGTCACAGAGGGGTAGGATGGAGGCACCCAGGCCCAGGGCCGGCCCATTGATGGCCACTACAATGGGTTTCTTAAACTGGATAAAGGCCTTCACAAAGTCCCTGATGGCTTCGGCAATCCGAGTGCTCTCCTTTCTTTGGTTGCTGGACAACCACCCAATTAGGTAGGAGTAATCTAGGCCACTGCAGAACACACTCCCCACTGCACTGAGAAGCAGCAGTTTGCTGTCATCTGTGGCTGCATTGCAGAGCACTCGCTGGACTTCCTTCATTATCTCAGGTGTCAGTGCATTGTTATCCGAGGTCTGGCTGGACAGCAAGATGTGTGTGAACCCTTCTTCTTTCCGCACGACAATATTTCAAAACCGACAGTTGACTTTCATTCTGGCGGACGCTGTACCTGAGCCTCTTGTCAAAGACATAGTCCTTCTCTGTTTCCAGCTTTCTCTTCGCAGGGTTGTGCAGGTTCAATCCCCCATTAGTCAGAGCAGGGCCAAGCCCATTCTCTGCCAGTGCTGCATGGTTCACTTCACAATCACCCACATGCTTTCCAACATGATCATTCAAATCCAAGCCAGGCTGATGCGACCCGTGTCCAAAGTGCCTCTCATCCTTCTCAGAGCCGGCGTCCCCATTTTCCATCCCATTCTGAGCCTTTTTCAGGGGCATTATTTGCAAACCGCTGGGGGTAGTCCTGTAAGACACCATCTTGGCAGCTCGATCGCCCCCTGAAGGGGGCTTGCCTGAGTACCCCTTCTTTGGCTCAGATAGGGGAGGGTTGATGTGCTTCCATTTATGGGAAGTTCCTTTGCTCTTCCCAGGTTCTGAAGGTCTATGGGCTAGTTTTTCACTCACTGGGCTCCAGCTGTCACGTAGGAGCTTGGAGGTGTTAGACTGTTTCCCTGGCCTGATCCTCTTGTCCTTGGATATGTGCAGCCCATTGAACTCGTCGATAAACTCCTCACAGTGCAAGAAGTGGTGTTCTGGCTCCCACGTGTCCTCTGGGCTCCCATAGCCTTTCCACTGGATAAGATACTCCCATTTTCCTTGCTTATTCTTCCTCTTGTCTACAATCCTTTCAACACTCTTCCACAGAGCAATGAGCATCATTCCCTGTTGACAGCTCTTTTAAACTGGAGTGTGTTTTGCCTTTCCATCCCTTCAACATGGCTTCTGAGGGAGGTGTTACTCGTAAAGGTCCCCAGAAGCCATGCCAGGCTGCGGAACTTGGCTTGCCAGGTGTGCGCATCTGCTCACTCGCGCCCTCCGTGCATGTGTGCATGGGGCCCAGCCAAGTTTCGAGATGATGAGCATACAGTCTATTGCAATGTGTACAAGCATGAACCCCTCGTGCTGTTTTGTGAGAGCTGTGACATTTTCGCCTGCCGGGACTGCCAGTTTATGTCCACAAGGATTACCAGTACCAGTTGCTGGAGGATGTGGTGAGGAACCAGCGCAAACTCCTGGACTTCCTGGTGAAGCGCCTTGGGGACAAACATGCCACCCTGCAGAAGAACATCAAGGAGGTCCGCAGCTCAATCCGCCAGGTGTCTGATGTGCAGAAGCATGTGCAGGTGGATGTCAAGATGACCATTTTGCAGATCATGAAGGAGCTGAATAAGTGAGGCCGCGTGCTGGTCAATGATGCCCAGAAGGTGACGGAGGGGCAACAGGAGGGCCTGGAGCAGCAGCACTGGACCATAACCAAGATTCAAAAGCACCAGGAGCACATCCTGAGCTTTGCCTCTTGGGCTCTGGAGAGTGACAACAACACAGCACTGCTGCTGTCCAAGAAGTTGATTTACTTCCAGCTGCATCAGGCTCTCAAGATGATTGTGGAATTTGTTGAGCCACATGGTGAGATGAAGTTTCAGTGGGACCTCAATGCTTGGACCAAGAGCGCAGAGGCATCTGAGAAAATTGTGGCAGAGCGTCTTGGCACCAACTCAATAGGCTCTGCACCCATGGCCCCTCCAAGAGCCCCAGGACCTCTGAGCAAGCAGGAGTCTGGAAGCAGCCAGCCCATGGATGTGCAAGAAGACTATGGCTTCGGGTCAGATGATATTTACACAAGTGCAGAGCCCCATACGTCAGGCGTGAAATGGTCCCGCTTGGGTGAGGGCGAGATGAGCAGCCTCATGTGCAAGGTGCCACATGTGAGCCTCGAACGCCTGGATCTGGACTTTACAGCTGACAGCCAGCCACCCGTCTTTAAGGTCTTTTTAGGCAGCACTACTGAAGATTACAACCTCATTGTGACTGAGAGCGGGGCTCGCGCCGC